CATCAAATAATAATTAGCAACTTTGAGAGGCAATTTTGGACAAGAATTGTTGACACAGTCGCAATTAGCAATGTTGTTACAACGGAACCGGACATCGATCCGGATTAGTAAAGGGTTCAAGGTTTATCAAATAACCGGTGGTTAATCGATATTAAAAACCGATCATAAACCGGTGTTGACGTACTTGGTAGACTTAACTATTATTTTTTTTTACAATTATTGTTTCACTTATTAGAGATAAAAGAATAAAGTGAGAATTATTAAAACTGAAAAAGCATAATTTGGGCGGCTGCTAGGTCTTTTTCGGGAAAAGTGAACTGATTTTTCTTCTCTTTATATTTTATTCTGTACTTACCTTCTTTTGTTTTTGAATTTTTAATTGCAACAAAATAAAAGGAAGGCGCATGTTTGATTTTAAGAAGGTGGATCGTTCCCCTCAAAAAAAAAAAAAAAAGGTGGGTCGTGAGTTCCGTGACACACCCGCCTCTTGAACTCTAAATGGCCAACCTTCTCCACTCCCCCACGAGGCCACAAATCCTTCTCCACTTCCCCACTATCCCACTTTCCACACACACACGTACTCCACTGCATGCATGCGGCCAAGTAAATCACGTGTGTAGAATCACTTTCTCTCCTTTATATAATGGAGATACCACTTTCTCTCATGTTACAACTTCCGTTTACTACTTCCCATACAAAACACTTCGGTTCCATTGACCGTGCGAATTGCATTCAGTATGGCGGGCCTGCCTCAATTCAATCAGTAAGTACTGCTCATGCATCCAACAAATACTACATCATGTAATTTCGATTCTTTTTCACTACTTAATGCCAAAACTTACAGTCCAATATATAGGTTTTTTTTTTTTTGACAAAAGATAATCATACATTGATTTAGACAACGATAGTTACACCCTGGAAACCAGCCAGGTCTGGAAATCAAAGAACCGACATAAAGTCGGGAACAAAGAAAGGGCTTTCCTAGCTACCACATGAGCTACCCTATTATGATCCCGACCTACAAATCGAATACTAAAGCCAGCATGGGCTGCAAACAACTGAACAACTTCCTCAAGAACAGCACCCATCTGGCCATCTCTGCTATCCCTCATTCTGATTTTGTCTATAATCACCTTAGCATCCCCCTTCAAATCTGACCGCCTCAAGACCGTGCTCACAGCACCAAACCATAGCTTCACGGAGAACCAGTAACTCCGCCACAGCAGGATCATCTACCCCCGGGAACTGAACCCCTTTAATCCAGAGGATCTCTCTAGCTGGAGTTAAGATCACCATCCCCCCAGCCGCATGAGAGCCGCTCCTCGTAGCCCCATCCCACATGCAAACAGCCACGCTAGGATCAACTGGGACCGGCTGCTGCGCCCGAGGACAAACTGCTGGAGGGATCTGGCCACCTGGCACCCTTACCCATTCCTCATACTGCTGATTATATTGCCGCATAAGAACAGGGATCGTATACTGTTTGCCCTCAAAGACTACCCAATTCCGAGACCTCCAGATACGCCACAGAATGGCTATCACTGCCATAACCAAGTCAGGCCGGGGAATAAGAGCCAGCAGCCTTTTGAGAAACAAGGGAAAGGTGTGACGGGGCAAACCCTCCCCGAGGTAATCCAACCCAGCAAACTCCCAAAGGGCACGGGCCACAGGGCAATCAAGGAACAAGTGCTCCATCGTCTCGGGAGCAGCCCAGCAAACCGGACATCGAGGGTGCACCTGAATTCTCTTCTCAATAAGTGCCTCTGTGGTAGGAAGGATGCGATTAAGGATCTGCCAGACGAATACCTTGAGTTTAGGTGGGATATCAGCCCCCCATACCCGTATCCAGCTGGGCTTATCCATCCAACTGGCCCCAGCCTTCCATCGCCCTTCCCGTCTCTCCAGAGTGGTTGCAAGATGGTAGGCAGATTTGACCGAGAAGATCCCATCCCTAGAGTAGTGCCAAATTAACTTGTCCTCCACATTATGTCGTGGTAATGGGATGGCCTTTATCGCTCGACAGGTATGCGGATCAAACCACTGGCCCAGTTTTGCCTCATTCCAGCGTCCTTCCCCCTGGAAAATAACCTCTGCCACCACCGGATCACCACCGTCAGGCAGGACTTGAGGACTATACCTTAGGGGTTCAAGGTGAAACTTAGGAATCCAGGAGGAGTGGAGCAAGGAAGCCGACCTCCCATTGCCAATCTGCCATCGTAACCCCTTCACCAACAGTTGACGTCCAAACAGGATGCTCTGCCACCCCCACGACGGACGTGATCGGGCTGAGGCTGTGAGGAAAGTACCCGTCGGGAAGTATTTACCTTTGTAAACCTGGGCAAGTAATGACTGCGGGTCTGTAAGAATACCCCAGCCAATCTTAGCAAGAAGGGCTTGATTAAACTGATCAAACCGACGGAAGCCCATTCCTCCCTCATGCTTACTACGACACATGTTCCGCCAAGACATCCAACGAGTCTTGGGTTGCCCTTCAACCACCCCCCACCAGAATCTAGCCACATGCTTATCCAACAACCGACACAGGGAGACCGGCAGCTTAAAACATGACATCACATGAAGCGGTAACGCCATAGCAACAGCTTTAATCAATGTTTCCTTCGCCGCCCAGGACAGTGTCCTCTGTTTCCACCCCTGAAGGCGTTCTAGAAGCTTTTCCTCCAGATAGCGGAAAGTGGCCATTTTGGACCGAGCCAGCAGAGTCGGTAGCCCTAGATATTTATCATGCACCCCTACCGCCCCGACTCCTAGGATTGCAGCCAAGAATTCCTGGTCTTGAATGACAATGTTCTTGCTGAAACAAACAGCCGACTTAGCCAAATTCACTCGCTGGCCACTAAGTTCCTCATACTCATTCAGGACCTCAATCAAGTTCTCGCATTCCAGAAGGGACCCACGCAGGAACAGATAAGAATCATCCGCAAAGAAAAGATGCGAGATTCGCGGAGCCCGAGGAGCCACTTTCACTCCCCCTAGCTTATCTTCCGATATTGCCTTTCGAAGGATTGCAGCAAACCCTTCAGTGCAAATCACAAACAAAAGGGGGGAAAGAGGGTCCCCCTGCCGAAGGCCTCTGGATGGAGCGAAATAACCTGACGGGGCCCCATTCATTAACACCGAAAAAGAAGATGACCGGAGACATTCATGAACCCATCCACACCAGGTGGAGTTAAAACCCATCTTAGTCAAAACTGCAAGAAGAAAGGGCCATTCGACTCTATCATAGGCCTTTTCCATGTCAACCTTCAGAGCCATGTACCCTTTCTTGCCTCTAGTCTTGATCTTGAGGTAGTGCATTAACTCATGCCCAAGGAGGATATTCTCAATAATTTGCCGGTCGCGAATGAAAGCATTCTGGCCTTCCGAAATGATTTGTGGCAGAAAGCACGCAAGCCGCTCAGCCATGATTTTAGTGACAATCTTATAGACAAACTGACACAGGCTGATAGGTCGCAGCTGGGTCATGGTCACCACATTTTCAACTTTCGGGATCAAAGTCAGCCAAGTGTGATTGAAACTCTTAAGCATCTTACTTGTACGAAAGAAAGAGCAAACAGCCTCAATTACCGACCCACCCACAATATCCCAAAAGGATTTAAAGAATTTCCCGGTGAAGCCATCCGAGCCCGGAGCCTGCTTAGAACCCATGGAGAAAACTGTTTTCCGCACTTCCCCAGGAAGGACCTCTGCTGTGAGGCAGTCATTCATGGCAGGTGTCACTTTCTGGGGGATGGGCAGGCCATCCACTCTCTCCGCCATGTTACGCACCTGATTTTCCGAAGTAAACAGCTTTTGATAAAAGGTATCAGCAATTTCGGCCTTCCCTTTCTCCTCCGTGACCCAGTCACCCTCATCATTACGCAAGCCCGCCACGTAATTTCTTTTACGACGAGTCCTGGTTACCGTGTGAAAGTAAGCGGAGTTTTGATCACCTTTTTTCAGCCACCGCACCCGCGACTTTTGCTGCCAGTAAATCTCCTCCGCCTCCCATTGTCTACTTAGCTCGAGTTCCAACTGGCGGACCTCATCCCAATTAATCGGGGATTGAGCCTTAATCCGATCAATTTCGGACTGGAGAGTTTTGATATTCCGCAGGGAGTTCGTGGTTCCTGCTCGACTCCAGTCATATAGCAAATGCCGGAGTTTCTTAAGACGTTCCCATAGTCTGAACATTGGGGTACCCTGGATTTCCTCTTGCCATACATACTGCACCATAGCCCTAACTTCCGGGTTGTCCGCCCATCTGGCATCAAAACGGAAGAGGGGCCGACTATGACGCACATACGGCTTGTCAGAGAGAAGCAAGGCACGATGGTCCGACCCCTGGTCCGTGAAATGCTTCACGAGGGTTTCCGGAAAGAGATCAATCCAAGATTGGGAACAAAGGCCTCTGTCTAATCTTGCCCTAACACAAGCTGCTCCCATACGTTTATTTGTCCAAGTAAACTGATCCCCCTGATACCCAGGGTCATGGAGACCAAGATCATGTACAAATTCGCGTAAGCTAAGAGCCTGGGCTGCGTTCCAACGAAGCCCCCCATCCTTCTCACTCTCTTGGAGAGTAGAGTTAAAATCCCCAATGACAATATAGGGAAGGTGAAAATTAGCACAAACGTCCTTGAGCTGAGCCAACTGGGAGGCTCTAATTGCGACATTGCAACTAATATAAACAAACACCACAATATATGAAAACTCCATTTCATTAATTTGGGCACAAATACAGAAATCGGAATGAAAGAACACCGAGGCATCAACCTCGCGGGACCACGCAACAACTAAACCACCCGATGCATCAATCGCATCAACAAAAAAACAACGGGAAGACTCAAAACCTAAGCCCCTCATACGCCGGGCAACTACACGCCGGTTCGATCGAGTTTCAGAAAAAAACACGAGATCCGGTTTATTAGAATGAATTAAACCAACAGCAGTTTGGAATGTGAGGGATGGTCCAATTCCTCTCACATTCCAGGCAACAAGCCTCATTTATCCGGCTGGGGCCATTTCCGGCTGGCTTCCTCCACCGACTTCAAATCAGCATCCTCCTCAATGAACTGTCTTTTGGGAGTAGGCGATGCCGCAATCTCCCCTTCCAGCGCTTCAATCTGCCTTTTTCGACCCCCCTCCTTTGGGTCCACCAAATTCGAACCATATTCATCAAAATTAATGGCACCCTCCCCAATCTTCTCCATACCCAAGCCCTTACTTTCGACATTAGATATCTCATTACCAATAGGCTCTGGATCGGCCATGGCTAGGCCAGTCTCAAACGCCTGCACGACATTATTAACCCTTGAAGATTGGGCCAGTCGCTGCAGTTCTTTGACAGTGGAAGATTGGCGACGGCGGAGCTCAAAGGGGTGGAGATCCTCCTCTGATTCCGAGTCCACCAGCCCAATGATAGTGTCGTCTATCGCCGAGGGGATCGGTGGAGCTGCCACCGAGGGAGGCGCTTCTTGTGCAACCGCAGCATCCTTAGTCCCCTTGGTCCCCGAAGGCTGGGAGCCACCATTCGGGGCCTTCTTCCCTGGATTTCTACCCTGACCAACAGCTGGTCGGCTTTCCACTTCCTTGGCCGCTAGCGAGCGGAGTTTACGTTGACCCGCCGGCCGAGCCATCGGACGAGAGTAGGGAGGGGACTTGGGCGACGGTGGCAACTCCAGAGCAGCTCCATCCGCCTGTCCAGTTTCACAGGCCTGTGCATACTCATCGGGCTCCGCCAGGGTTAATTTCTTGGGTTTTCTGGACCCGGTCAGCCCCCCAGTTGATTTCCCCATTTTCCCTCTGGCCTTTGGGTCCGTTAGACAGGCTGAGGGCCGCTGCAAGTCTTGGGCCGGCCCATTAGTTTTACTAGAGCCCGGCCGAACACTCTCGCCCTTCTTCTTTCCCGTCGCTTTGGATGGAGGAACAGTCAGGGATTGGGAAAGCTGCGGCGCCGGGAATCCACACGGAACTGGTTGCCGTATCGGTGGCCGATCATCTTCCGGCCTGGTAGACGAGACGGGACGGACCACGAACTCCTCCTCTGACTCGTTTTCGAGAATGAGGCGGCGGCGACGGGAAACGTCATCGGTTTCCTTCAGGGGTGGTCCATCAGCGTCGGGCGGGAGCGTACGACGAGTCGTGCTTTTCACTTTGCGCTCCAAAGCAGCAGTGGGAGCCGTCCCTTGGTCATTTCTTGTCGACCGACCATTCCTTCTCCGTCGGCGCGGCACCAGGTTCAGGGCTCGATTTTCATCAATCTCCATCGGGCTGCCACCTGCTGTCACCTTCCCTTTACCACGGCGGACCTGCCTTCCCAGGTTGACTTTGGGGGCTGCCTTCGGAATTGGGAATTTGAGGGGGCTTCTCCCCATTTTGGCTCGTTGTTCGGCCTCCTCAGTGGTGATGAACGGGGAATCAGATGATCCCATCCACAATGGACTGTCATCTACCGCACGAGGTTTCCTGGGAATAGGGTCTTGCCTCGGCATAGTGCGCCGTATCTCACGATCATCCTGACCAGTCTTTTGACGGACATTAGAATTGATCCAGACTGAGTTTGGGTGACCAGAAAACCGCGGCATTTGGTCGTCTTCCTCGAAGATTTTCCTTCCCATTTTTTTGGTCGTCATGTGAGGACCAAACCGCTCTTTTCGTGCTGGCGGATCAAACATACAGTTTTGACGAAAGTGTCCCACACGCCCGCAGTTATAGCAAAAACTGGGTAGGTGCTCATACTTGAATCGAATCCAAAAAGATCCCGTTTCTTCATTGGTTGCCCAGATCTGAGATCGTAACGGTTTGGAAAAGTCTATGAGGGTCTTGACTTTGATGAAAGTATTAGTAGTATCCGTGCAGGAGAAAATTCCTGCTTCGAGCACCCGGCCAAGGGTGGAGCTCGCTATCTTTCGTCCAAATTGCTGAGTACAGCATTCTTCTCGCACATCCCACATTTGGACTCTGAATGGTGCAGTTGCCATCTCATCAAACGTTCGAGTAGTGATGTTCGGCGTCCAGGCCCTCAGGTGCAGAATTTTGTCATTGATGACCCATGGCGTGCGCTGGAGCACCCAATTTTTCGCCGCTTCAGTAGGGAGGATGAACTCGTACAGTCCCTGCGCCGCCTCCCTAACTATGATTCTTCCCTGGCCTTGCCATGGGTTATTAATCGCTGCACGTAGTGCAATTGGAGTCAGCCTATCCTCAGTGAAGAGGCGGCCTAGCAGCATCCTCGATTGACGAACCCGGTCGGACTGTACCTCCGTTAGTGAAAATTCTACGACCTGGTCACTGGCAATGCGAGCCATGGTAGCCGACTGCAGCAAAGAAGATAGTTTCAGTTCACAGGACGTAACAATGGCCGAAGCTTCGCTAACTGGCCCCCAAGGGTAGCTCGAAAGATTGAAAGAAAATGTTCTGGTAGGAAAATCCCCTACCCAAACAGATAAAAAAATTGCCGAATTACAAAGTTCCCACTTACCAGAGTATTCCTCTTGCTTGTTATTGTATCCGCAGCTACTAGGCACCCACTCCTCGTCTCTGTAATTTTGGTGGAGAGACATGAGGCTGGGTGGCTGCTTTATATAAGCAAGGTACGTCTGGAACTTCTCCTGGTATGAGAGTTCAAGTGGGAGAGGGGAACTTTGACAATCCAGCTTAGATAATCGTTTAGTTGGAGTTCCAAATCCCGTAAATATACGGCGGAACAGAAAATCCCCGTGGCAGTTAAACGTTTCCGAGAATAGCGCAATTCCGCTAATCCTACGCGAGCCAGCCACCATTCCTACTCGCGCACGTTTCGGGGAGAAATCCGGTCGGAGGAATGTTGAAGCACACAGCTCCGGCGACGGTCTTCGGCGGATATTCTTAATCAACGCCTTAGTATCAATTTGGATCGGATTCGTCCCATTGCGGGATCTGAATTCGGAGCTCGCCCCATTTCGGGATCTAAGCTCACAGTTGGGCGTAGCAGAACCTGAAACCCGGGTTTGTGCCAGAGTTATCTGCCCCTGTAGGGGGTAAGTCTGGATCTGCTCCTCCTGTGTTACCGTATCGGCCTCCTCCGGCGACGGTAAGTAGAACCGCCAGCATGCCACAAAAGTCCAATATATAGGCTTCCCCATGGTTTTATTGCTAATCTGCAATATGATGATTCTCTTGAAATTTGTGAGCGTGCCGACACCATCGATCTCATTATGTTGCAAGTGGATGTCGAAAATCAGGTAACTAAACAAATAAATTTCTTTTTAATCGGCCTTTTGTGGCATGCTGCATTTTATCGATTTGCTTTGACAATATTCGTTTCTGTGTTTACATCATGGCACCTCTTTTTTGTTATCCGGACGTGTAACGAATTTGACGACGTCCTGGTCCCCTGCATCCAGAATCCATTTCGTCCACCTCACAATTGAGGACGAATTCATTGGTGTTGACATCGTCTTCCCGTCATCACAGTTACGAACGATTGTTGAATCTATATTCAGTCATGCAGATGTTGTCAATGCTGACTATATGGCCCTTCTGAACATGCTTGGAGAACAGACATTTGAAGTCATGGTCACAGTCGGTCCCTGGAACGATGCATTTGGTTATTGTGAACTTGTGTTGGTGAAATTATTTTTGCCTTTGTTAAATTGAGTACCATGTCATGAACAATGAGACAATGTATTGAGTTTTCTTATTTTGGACTTGCATGTTATTTGTCGTAATACTCAACTAGATTAGATTTGTGATTAGTAAAATTTCATGTAAGTATTTTTATTGTGATTAGCTAATCTTCAAATGTATTTCTAACTTATTATGAATGTTCATTCATATTACATGTTCGTCTTCAACGAATTGCAAAATTGCAACAATCTTATGATAATATAAAACAAGACTCATTTCTCGACACTATCATTATAGATATTGTAACTCCATTTCCTTAAACAAATGCGGCCAACGGGCCGGGCTATAGGCTAGTAATTATAATTATATATAATCACCATAACTAAGCAATAATGAGAAAATATAGTATTGGTAAAAGGAATTTTTAAAATTCAAAAATTGTCGTCCTACATCCCCCCGCCCGCCTGTGATTCTGATTGTAGCTCCAATATTTCCCCCTCCTAGATATTGAAATTTGGCCATCCTGCATATTTCCCCGCGCACGCCATTTTGTATCTCCCTGCAAATTCAATTGGCCCCAATATTCCTCCCTCCAAAATATTGAAATGTTAAAATTTTGGCTCCAATTTTTTTTGTCTCCCGCAACTTTGTTTTGCTGAACTCCAAGACCATTTCACAAATAGCCACCAAATTATTTGTGATGTTAATTGTAACTCATGGTAAAGCCATAAACAAACACATAATATAGTTCATGTTAGTGAACGCCAAACATATGTTATACGTATGTGTTCATACCATCGTATGCCGTCGAAATTTACTATTTAACAATCAATTAATCACATTTTGGGGTATGATATTATACACTAACCTCTAATGGATGAATCCAAGTTCTAATTCTCTAACAGAAATCATAAAATTTATTTAATCTAAAATAATAATAATTGACGGTTCTGATTCATCGAAATATATCAAAATACATATAATATAACAAGTGTGAACGCGTAAGTATGTTGTTTATCACAAGTTTTTAAATTATTTTATATCACGGGTGCTAGGTTATGTGTACTATAACATACTCGATTTGTTGGAATATAAGATAACTCTTGATAAGTTCTCAAATCTATTATAGCCAATTAGTCATTTAGTTATTGAAGCCATATACATATATATCTTAAACTTCATATGGTGGGTGCTAGCTTATGTGTACTACAACCTACATTTGAGATAGTTCGATAGTTCGAAGAACGTGATTAAAGATGGGATAACTCATGATAGGTTATCAAATCTAATTAATCAATTAGTCATTGGTTTACAATAGTCAATGTCTCAGTTACTAAATGTTAAACTCTTAACCCATAACAGTAAAGATTATGATAATTCACATTGGTAAATAATAGTATATGATCTATAATGTAAAATAGTCTGCAGTTATGATGGTTCAGGTGACGTTACTAAGATAAGTTTAATATTTAGTGACGAAGACATTGTCCATAGTAAATATTAATATAAAATTATAGGGCATTACTAATTTGATATATTAGTTTTGAGAATATATAATGAATTATCTTATCTCAATCACATCATTCGAACTATCTCAACTGCGGGTTGTAGTACAAGGTTTTATATATGATGGTTTAGAAGTTTAAAATTTAGTGACTAAGACACTGCCTATTGTAAATCTTATTATCCTTATAGGGCATCACTAATGGGAAATTAAAAACACCAAATTTAAAAGTACTCAAGTTCCCCTCCTCTTCTCTTCTAAGAAATAAAACACAAAATTTCCCTTCTTTGCTTTTCAAAAAGTTGAAAATAAAAAAATAAATTCCCCTAATTCTATTAGCATAATTCAAGCACAAAAATTTATCACTTATTTCCTTCTCCAAAAATTGAAAGTATTAAATTTCCTTCTTATCTACTTTCCTAAAAAGTTGAAAATTTTCTACTTCTATTATAATAATCAAATTTCCAAATACATTACTTTTATATTTGTATTTAATTGATATTTTTTCCGAATAGTTAAATTAACCATAATTTTAATGGGTATACACTATATTAATGTTATAGATTTTCTCAATTGAAAGATTATATATTATATAATAGTAATTATTAAGGTCAATCGGGTGGGTTCGGGTTAGTCGGGTTCAGGTCAATCAGATTTTGGGTCAATCGGGTTACGGGTTCAATCGGGTATGGGTCAGTCAGGTTCAGGTTAATCGGGTTGCGGGTTAGTCGGGTTGCGGGTGAATTGGTTACGGGTCATTGACTTTTAGTCAATTCGGGTCGCGGTCGGGTTACGGGTTGGGTTGATCGGGCAGGTTACTCGGCTCGGGTTCTATTTTGACACCTATACTGGGGACTGGGGTTTATCCATTAGCGGTTAGGATATAGTATCATGCCCAAAACTCATGTTAATTCATGATCTAAATAGAAAAACTCAAACGGGCGTACGCTAGCCTAAACCACACACACATATATATATATATATATCAATACATAATCAAGCACAAGTACCCAATAATACCATCAATTAGTTATTAGCTAAATCTGACTACCGAAACCGATCGTTTATTGTTTAATCTGTTATTGATGTAACCGTTAAGCACCAGTTCCGGTACAATTATCGATTACACCGTTAACATGATAACGGTTTACTAGCCTATAAAATCCGCTATACTGGCGATTTATATATTTACTAGGTGGTGATGCCGCGTCTTGTCGCGGGTGGAGATGGCCTATGGGCATGTATTATGTGGCATGTTATGGTATTTTGTTTGTATTATTAGCCTATAATTAATTTTTTGTTAGCAATTTAGTTAGTATTATTGACTCGACAATATCATGTTGACTGAGAAGATATATATGGCGGTCAACATCCAATTAATGTTTTATTTTTTTGGAAATTTTGGCGAATAAATGATATTTTTCTATACCCAAGTAGACCATGGGTAGGGTATGTATGACGTATATATGGGTTTGGAAGTTCGTACATGAGTTTGAGTAGGGTATGGATATCTACTTCCGTAATCTAAATGTGTATGAGTTGGGTATGGATACCCATTTATCCGAGAGTGTTTTAGCTATATATAGACAAAAATTATACCTATTTGTAGAACTTCAAAAGTTTAGGTCACAAAATGTAATACACAAAAAATTTAGGTACTAAATATAATGTTCCATCAATATTTTGTGGACTTATACAAAAAAAAAAAGGTTATAAATCTAAAGATCTATTAAGTTTATGTACATAACTGTAATTTGCATAGTTGAGACTTAATTCATTTATGGTGATGTATTTTAGATGATAATTATTTACTTTTTTATAGAAAATGAAAACTATTTATTTGATATGTATAGATACTTAACCAAACATTCCATGTATTATAAACATTCTAGTCCGAGTGAAAAAGAAAAATTATAGAGAGAAGCAAAAGTAATACAAACTGGAAGTCGCTTAAAATTTCATGCTTTCAAATCCCATAGTGAAAATGATGACTTTCTAATAAGTAATAACCATACGTATTTATTTTTAATTGCACTCGACATTAAGCTGGAAAAGTTAGTGGTTCATGGTTCAATTATTAGTTCTCTAGACTGTTGGTAAGTCTTGTATGGAACCGTTCATACTTGTGATTATAATACATAAAAATAATATACTAATTAGGGTTAGACGAAGAAGGCAAATAAAAAAATAAAGAAAGGGTTATGGAAGGAAAGTGAAAATGAAACAAAAATGAAGTAGATGATGGAAAGGTTTTGACCAATTCATTTAGTTGGCCGTTAATACAACAATCAACCATTTTCACCGTAGCAATTTATTGACACTTGGTTATGTACGTAGATTTCGCATATCTTGTTACATGTAGTTAGTAGAAGTTTGTTTAGTACTCTCATAAATGTACTAAATGAGTTTATAAATTCGCTCTTGCACTATTTTAGAGTCGTTTCTATTAGCTTTTATAATTTATTTAATATTTCACATAATTAGCAAATATAAAATGGTCAAAAGGATTGGTGGATTGGATTCATGGATTCAAATGAAATCTAAACATAATTGTTTAGATACCAAAACATAATTGTTCAAAAAATTAAATTTGGACTATCAAAATGTAAAATATACATCATATTGACTAAGTTGTAATTTAATTAAATTTGGGGTACTTTTATGCTATTGTGGATTGGATTCATGGATTGGTTCAAAAGGATTGGTGGATTGGATTCATGGATTCAAATAAAATCTAAACATAGGACCAATATGTAAATTGTAGGCGAATCTCATAAATTTAGATACCAAAATATAATTGTTTAAAAAATTAAGAAATTGTAGGTGAATCACATAAATTTAGATACCGAAACATAATTGTTCAAAAAATTAAATTTGGAGTATCAAAATATAAAATATACATTATAATGACCAAGTTTTAATTTAATTAAATTTGGGGTACTTTTATGTTATTGTGGATTTGGATTCATTGATTGGTTCAAAAGGATTGGTGGATTGGATTCAAGAAATCTA